TGTGTGTGAGTGTGTGTGTGTGTGTGTGTGTGTGTGTGTGCGTGTGTGTGTGTGTGTGTGTGTGTGTGTGTGTGTTTGAGAGAGAGAGAGAATCAATCAATCAATCAATCAATCAATCAATCAATCAATCAAATCAATCAATCAATCAATCAACCCAATCAAGATCTTATCCCCTCCCCCACCAATCAATCAATCAATCAATCAATCAATCAATCAATCAACCAATCAATCAAACAATCAATCAATCAGTCAATCAGTCAATCAGTCGATAAAAAAACAATCAATCAATCGATTTTTTTTTTTTTCCTTTTTTTTTCACACATCAAAAACCGCCCCCCCCAATTTTTGATTTTCTTTTTTTCCACAGGCCGACAGCGGCCGACATGCGCAGGCCGTGCGCGCGTGCCGCCGCCTGGCTGTGGCGCGGCCGCAAAATACCTCGGCCGCGCGGCCGAGTCGGAGGCGGCCACGGCCTAGGGGGACACATAGCCCTGGACAAAATTTGGTCTACCGGGCCTACAATGGGAATAAGCATCCCCTCGTCCATGGAATTCTTTCCGATGTTTTTGCCTTGTTTTTTCTCTCCCACGGCCTTCAGATATCATTGCCGAAGGGAGATCGCTGGAAAGTAGACATAGCCTCACCCTACACAGATTGGTGCCAGCAATGCCGATGGTACTATCATACGGAAGAGAACTGCCCACAAAATCCCCAAGAAGAAACAAGGAGAAGAGACAGAGTCCCACAGAGACGGAGTCCCGCAGCAAGGAGGACACACAGAAAGATACCAACAGTTCTTACTCGACCAAACTGAGAGCAGCGAGATCAGGAACAGGAGGAAGAGAGGCGGATCATCGGGAGGAAAGCCGGTGGTTGCAAGTGTGAAGCAGACAAAGCGCCGCGCAGGAAAGAGAAAACCTTAGAGGCAGATCCAAATCAGCTGCTAACGGGGCACGCAGAGAAAATGTGAACTCAGTGCAAGATCTGCCGCTGTGTCAGAACCGGAGATTTGAAGCACATCAACATGAGTTACAGGAAGAGCACGCCCGTTCTTCACTGCTGCAGCCGTGGTTAAGTCGAGACCGATGGATAGGTGATCGTACATTCCAGGGGTTGGAAGACAAGCTATGCAGGCAGTACCCTACTCCAGAGAAGATTGGTATGCCAGACGACCGTCGGAGCAGCAACACCTCCAGAGCGGCCGATTCCACATGGAATAAATGGGACATCATTTGCAACAGATTGAAACTCTTGTCCAGGATGCATCCCACCTGGACTGCCCCGTGCCACAGTACCCCCTGCGACGGTACCCGGAGGGCCCACTTGAGTGGAGAGGCATGGCCCATCAAGGGCCGAACAGATGTTCCGAAGCACAGGCGCGGTACCAAGAACCCCCCTTTTTGAACGAGAGCCAAGGAGCAAATGAAATGAGCATGAGACGGAGAGGAGCAGCATGGAGAACATGGGGTGAAGAAGAGAAGGGAAGTGGAAGAAAGACAATGGAGAGAAGGGAGAGACAGGACCTCGCAATCACGAGGTCCGAGAGGATCCATAGCTCCAGGAGCACCTGGAGATGTGCAACGAAGACCTCACGAGGACACCCACTGAGAACCAAGACCGGTAACAACCAGACAGGCAAGAATCCCAGAAGAAGAGCCTCAACAGGAGCTGTCACGAGCACCAGCCTCCTCAAGATCTAGAGTAAGAATGGGAAGCGAATGGCTGGGAGATGAGGATTTGGAAGAAGAAAGAGAAAAATCAAAATCAGCAGTTGGGATGGAGGGGTCATTCAAAAGCTCTGCAAACTCCAGATCGCGAGTCGGACACAGCACACAGGAATCAGGTCAAAGTGGCAAAAAGACGCCTGGTCCAACTACTTCGCACTATGGCAAACGATGGCATGTATTTCTTGGCACTGGCATATAGAGAAGGGAGGTCGGTGATCCCATCACAAGATATCAATAGATCGCCTACCCCTGCCTTACGGTAACCGTGTCCCAATACGCCTCATCATCCCAAAAGCAGCCATGATCAATGTGTTATGCAACACTCCACAAGGTTATTGCATTTTATTTTTTATTTTTTTTTAAGCCCAGGGTGCTGTAGAGGCCAAGGACCAGACCCGCGGTGATTGCTGGTAGCGGCAGCCAATGGTTGTCCTGACAGGACAGGCCACCTACCCTACCCATCCCCACGTTAATACTCCCAGCGC